AAATAAATAAATAAATAAAAGGATGATCGTTCAAAGATGACAATTACAAAATTCAAATATGGCAAAGGGGAAAGTATCAAGGCTAAAATTATGCACACCCAATTTGCAGAAGGTTATGGAGGACGGTGGGAGCCCAAAACCCATCTGCAGAGGACCTGGTCAGACTGAGCTGCTGGCAGATCCACTTGAGCCACAGACAAGACTCTCAAACAGCCTCAACTATCAGGCAGAGACCATTGTACTCTTGATCACGCTGGACCAAACTCGACACTTGGCCACTTGACCGCCCTTGTTCTGGATGCACGTATCTCCTACTTAATCTCTTACTTAATTTCTGCCATGACAGAAATGTCTTCCCTGCCTTTTTGAATGTTGATTGGGGGGTCGTCTCTTTCTTACTCATTATTTGTCTTTTTGTCTTCATATTATTATTATTATATCCTTACCATCTTATTTTCGATTTTGATTTTTGTTTCTGTTGGGCTTCCCAGCTTGTGAAGCACAGGAGGAGTGGATGCATAGAGACAGTAACTGATACCAACCAGGGCTGGTAGGGGACGCAGGACAGGAGGGTGGGTGCTAGGGAGGGACAGGGGATTCCAGAAATAAACAATGAAGGCAGGAGGGGGGAGGGAGCACTAGAGCTGATTGTGATTACCTAACTCATTGCAAAGGCAATTTAAACACGGGTGTGGGTGTGTGTGTGTTCTAAAATGGATGTGGTCATGATTGTACAATTCTCCTAGATATGATTGAACGGTTGAATTGTATGATATATAAATTATATGTAGATAAAACCGTTTGAAAACATAAAAAAGGAAACGGGAGTACAACCATCCGTTCAGCCAACTTGGCTTTCTCTTAAGATCATGCATTCTTCTCCCCAGTGTTCTTCTGGGTTGGGTGGGGAGCATTTACAATAAACGCTTAGGTGGCTTCTAGCTGGGCAAAACAGAGGCTAGGAGTGGAGGTTGGGGGGACGAGGGGTTAACAAGCGCTCACAGGGAAGCTGGTGCAGGGCTGGGGGAGGGCAGGTACTAGAGCGCAGTGTCTGCAGCAGGGTCCTGGGGCGCCCGCTCGCGGGGGTAGAACTCGTCCACGACGCTCTGCGGGATGCGCTTCAGCATCTCTTTGGGGAAGATGCGCAGCAGCTGCCAGCCCAGGTCCAGCGACTCGAACACAGAGCGGTTCTCGTAGGGGCCTAGACAAAGCCCAGCCGGGGCATTAGGAACGCGTGTGCAGCCGGCTGAGGGGGCGGGGACACCGCCTGGACTGGACGCGCCATCGGGCCTCACCCTGGTGGATGAAGTTCTTCTCGAACTTCTGCAGGAACTCCAGGTAGAGCAGGTCCTCCGGGCTGAGCGCCTCCTCCCCGACCACGGCCTTCATCGCTTGCACGTCCTTCCCGATGGC